TCAGGACACGCTCAGGACAGTGTAACTATTCAGTGCCACTGGTAAATGCCATAAAATGAAGTGTGTGGTGTCTCAGACGTACACTGCTGAAAGCAGAAACCTCACATCCACCGCCAACAGTTTCAAAGCACTTCCAAGACGTACAGGAGCTCCAAGCCTCCTGTTAGGTGTGTTGTAGCACAACAACAACGTGGTTACAGCACAGAAGAGAGTAGACTTCTTGTTTAGGACTGTAGAGAAAAATGTTTTTAAAAACTGGACTGTAAGACTCAAAAGGAACAACTCGGAACTAGGAGGTGTATTGACCCTCCAAAATGTAGGAGTAATGTTGTATAGTTTTTAATATACAACAAAATCCTTCAGTAGTCCAGGTTTAGTTGGGATAAATACTGTTGTAAATGAGGTTCAAACGGCAAATGGTGAAAAAAATCCACATTTGCAAGAAGGAATTATTCACCTTGAATAATTTATCTACCTTTCAGTATAGGATGACTGCTGAGATACCTTTATAATACCAAATATGGTAATTTTTCACCACATAAGGGAACAAAAAGTAGAAGATAAAGACTAAATCAATCACCAGTGAAATTAATATTTAAAAAGTCAGCTTCCTACACTTTTCATCTGATATCGTCCTTTAAATCACACATCTTCACTAATTTACCACTGCCTAACAGAGAAATCTGAGGGAAGTGCCTGTAAACAGAGAGGTTCAGAGTGATACTGAAAAGATTGATCTCCTCTTTGTGGTGTTGGTTTGCCATAAGGAAGCCATGAAGGTCTCAGTGTACAATGGTCTTACATGAGGTATCAGAGCAGGTTATTAAACCTTTTGGTAGTCATCATCAACTAAAGTTTCTTAAACTGAAAATAAACACTTTCCAGTCTCTAACAAATCTCATTTCTTCAGTTTTTCTGATTTCTGTTTTAGTCCCCTTATAAACAAGACAGGAGGAAGGGGGGCTGCAGTGGCCATTGCTGTTCAGCACTTCTCCTTTCTGACCAATCTACATTTAAGTAAAATTTAAATGCTCTTTACCACATTGAATTTTAGTCCCCATTAAGCAAAATTTGAGGCCAGTTAAGCTCAGGGAATTCTCCTGACTGAAGAGCTGTTTTCCCTGGTCGTGTACACACTAACATAGGGCGTGCTGTTATTAGTGGGAGACCATATGAATATAATTAAATACATTCGTGTAGTATTTTAAGCTGTTTTAAAATGCACAAATTAAAATTTAAAAAAAGTTTACTAAAATTAGAAATTCTTTAGAAAGAAGGTCGTTGCCATACTTACTTGTTACCATCTGCAAGGTACTTTCATCTTTTACACAAACATTTCTTAAGCTTCTGAGCCAGGGATAGCTTAACTGGGTTAGTTGTACTTCTCTGGAGAACGTCACACTCAGACTTTACAGACACAAACAGCACAAACCATATGTGCAAACAGAAACCACACGGCCAGAATAATTTTAACATACACTTTTGCAAAACACGTTATTTCCTTTCCTATGCTGTTCACAGAACTGAAAGATGCTCAGCTCTACTGTATGGGATTAGTCCAAAGCCATCGGCATCAATGAGTAATAGTTACCCTGGCACCTGAAAAATAACTAGAATAAATAGCTAGAATTTTTATTTGGTAAAAACTAAGTGGGAACTGTTTCTAACGAGAGATTACACCTTGTTAGATGTTACAATCTGCAAGCCTCTGTGTGCCTGTAGTGCAAAACTACCAAAATTACCACTTGCAAATATTGCCCCTCTACTGTAACAGCCTGTTTGATGTGTATGTAGGGTCTGCTGAAAACATGTCCTGGCATGAGAGTGCAAGCTGAGGAGGAGCCAGCTTGCAGTTGCATTTGGAAGTCTCCTTTTGACCACAAGAATATTTTGGATTTAGTTTTGCTGCTGGAGATGAGTACAGCGCACAGGCAGGCACAACTGGTTTGACAGGCTGCAGTGCAGCTGTGCCTTCTCCACGATCTCTTCTGGAAGAGGGCGAAAATGCAGGGATTCCCCTTAGAAACCTGGCAAGGACAAAGTTCATTCACTGGCACTGAGTTTGGCTTGATGCAACAATTTAACTGCATTCAAAGTTGTAAGTCAACAAAACAGAAAAGTTCGTATTAGAGCTGGTTATTTTGAAAGCCTGAGCATATATACCCTGCATCTCCCTTGGCAAAAGACGATGATGTCGAAGACCAAAATAAACTCCAATTTGCTTGAAGTAAATTTGACGGCTGTACAGTTCCTTTTTGCATAATGCCGTATCTTCCTACCACATCTGTTACCTTAAAGGCCATCTAACATTTTTCCAAAAGTCTAAAGTGAGATATCAACAAATGTATTCCTGTCTGTCCAATAAAGAAAAAAATCTAGTTTTAATTTGAAAGGAGAATAATGGATTAGTACTAACTCACCTTTTTAAAACAATCTTTGTCTGACTATGTGTGGAAGTATTTTCCATAAGCTAAGCCTGCATAGATGTACTTGACTGGAAATGAAGAACTGTACCTATCAGAGATAAATAACTTCAAAAATTACTTTACATTAAAGGACTTCACATCATTACAAAACTAAACATGAATGAGTACAACTTGTCTTTCTCTATTCTGACTAAACAAAAAAAGCAGTATTTTTCTAGGCATGAAATAAAAATTTGCTCAAAGGTTACTTCCCCCCTTGGTTAAAATGGCTAAATAATGCATTGTACATGAATCACAGAGCTTTTAAAATCCTGATGTGAATCCATTAACAATTCAGGGCTGGATGTCTGCCACAGCTGTTACATGAAGGTGCAATCCCATTGCTCTGCCGGATGGATGGACCTGCTCACATCAGGCTATTCTGTGTGTCTCTCTATCTCAGTGCAACCCCAGTGAGGCTCCATGAGTGTACTTTATTGATGGCCCATCTTAAAAATGGAAAAAACCACTGGTTTTCAGTTATAGTTTAAGTGTTTTGAGAACTGCCTCATTTTCATAGAGAGGAGAACTTTTATCATATGATGTGGCACCAGTCTTTCCCCCCTGAAATGGCAGGGCCCTCCCCTGCAAGGTGCTGGGAGCCAACAGCTCCCAATGAAATCAATTACAGTCGAGTCAATGGAGCTGAGAGTACTTAAAGTCATTCAGGAAGCACTCAGGGCTTGGTAAAATGATGGCATCATGTAGTTTAATTACTACAGTTAGATAATCTGATTCTTTCAAGCAGGAACTAAAAAAAAGTTTGATTTTCAAAGGCAATTTAGAAACCATAACCTTAAACCACTCTACTCCTTATAACTAAGAACATATTTATTTTATAGCTTCTACATTAGAGGCCATTAGCGTGGACTTTTCATGTAATGCAGCAAGTTTATTTAGGATATACATTAGCCATCCTTTCATTCTGATGTATAAAATCAATGCATCTAGTAATTTTGTTTAGAGAAGAAAGTACTTACACTGCAGGATATTTGAACAGTATCAATAGATCTGTTGATTATAAATTATTTTAATATCCTCTTCATAAAAATAAAATAATCTATGAGGGGAAAAAAAACTTAACAGTCTAAAGTCTGAGAGAACAGGTGGCTAAATGAAGGGTACATAATGCTCCACTGACTAATGGAGCAGTGCACAGTGTGTCAGTCGCTGTCAGTCACTTTGGTTCGTTAGGACACAGATGATGCTGTACCAACTCTGTGGTGGGTAGGTTCTGCAGGGCATTCGCTGAAGCATGTCTGCACTGCCATGCTTTGACTTGAGGCCAGTCTGCAAGCTGATCGTGCATTTTAAAATTTTTTTTAGGTTTGGATAATAGTCAAGGGATGATGACTTAGAAGAGACATGGATGAGTTTATACTGAGACACTGAATGCTGTAAAAAAGCATGGCAAACGCAGAAAGATGGTAACTTCAAATAAATACTGAGACAAGACCCAAAATATGCATCATGAGAGTATGGGTGTTACATTTGTCCCCATGTCCTTGGGAATGGCAGCAACAGTTAAGGGATACAGTCCTGCAAATCAGCTGTGCACTCACAAGACTGTGTGAATCATAACGCAAGTGTCTGAGATGGCAGTGGAGAAGAAATCATCCTAAAACACAGAGAGTGTTGGTGGCCTGCCAGGCTCTCATGCAAAGACTTCCCTCTTGGAGGGAGCTCCCCCCCACAGGAAGTTCTCCCCTTTTCCAAGCAACATGATCCAATTTAATCTCTCCAACAAGTTTCCAAACACACTGGAGGAATGCTCCGAAGCATGTAGCTATTGCCTTTGTGAATCACACTATTGCACCTGAGACTCAAATGGTTCAATTAGGTGATTGAAGGCTGATCAGCATACACAAAGACCCAGTGAGGATCAGATGAGCAATGACGGGTGAGGAATCCCAGTAACCTACTGAGGTTGGGGGCCTGCTGAGTCGCTGCTCACGGGGCCACCAAAGGAGGAGCACCAGCGCCTCTCCTGGGGGAAAGCCACCAAGGTGGGTCACAGAGAGGAACCCCTTCCTGAATTCCTTGCAGAGTGAAGGGCGTCATTGCCTACAGGGTATAGGACTCACTATGGGATGCAGAAGAAAGAGCATTTTGGGACTGTGTAAAGCTCATGATGTGATGTTTAGGGGAACTAGCAAAGGCAGGGAAAGGGGGGGACCAAGGTGGATCAGCAAGGAACAAATGGTGGGAAAATAGAGGCATGGGCCAATAAATATAACTGTTTTGTAGAATTCCCCTAACCAGCTAGTGACCCAAGGCCTCTTCCTGATATCTGAAATGTGAACAATATTAATAAACACTGACATGGATAAAGAAGTTCCTTATAAAACATCCTAATCATTTTTTAAAAACATTTTGACATTTCTACTAGTAAATGTAAAAGAGATTTGAAGCAAGCTCCAGAAGTTTGAATGCCTGTCCTTATCCATTAATCTGAGTCCAGCACTGAACTTTCATTTACTTACTATCAATAACATAAGTGTTAGTAAAAACATAGATGCAGATAGCAACACGTACCAGTCTACGAATTTCTCTCTCACACTCCCTCTTAATTCTGCTGATTTCCTCTTGATGCAGGTGATACACACTCCTTATCTCCGCTGCTTTAATTTTGTCAGCTTGGATGACCATAGTTAAAGCCTCTTCCACTTGTTTCTTAGCCCCCTTCAGCTCTGAAATTTCTTGCTGCATTTTTATTTTCTCAACTTCAAACCCCTTCTTGGCCTCCTCCTTTGCCTCTGTGAGCAGCACTGTTTTCACTTTGTCAGGAGCCCCATCACGTACAGCACTGAGAAGGGTCTGCAGTCTCTGGATTTCATTATCTTTAATTTTTATTACTCTAAGTAGTTCAGCTTCATGCTGTCTCAAAAGTGCTTCTCGAACAGCTTGGAGCTCCTTCATTTTCTCTTCATGAAGTTTGACTTTGAGCTCTGTTACCACCACTGTACTTTTATGCTGTTCGTGCTCTTTGATCTGCTTAACTTCCTGATTTTTCTCTCTTTCTAACTTGCTGACCTACAAGGAAAATAAAAAAAAGTATTTTTAATCAACAATGATTAATACAAATTATGATATTATCTAAAAATGGTACGGCTCACTTTACCATATTAGACCTTAAGGTTGCATGTCTGTGCCTTAGAGCGAAAGCCCGCCCAAACTGCTGAGTTAGCATTACCACACGCAGACCTACACATTTGGCATTTTGTTCATTCTTCATGATCTAATACTTTATTATATACTAAGCATCCCTTTTTTAAGGAGGTTCCAGGTAAAACTAGGGTCACTGTGCTCTGCTGCACAGCCTTCATGCTGCAGACTTAGGAAAGAGCAGTTTCCTCTCTTGACACATTTTGTGTGAAGAAAATACACATTACAAAACCCTGTAAAACATTTTCACAGGGAAAAGTTTTTTTACTATTTATGGCAAATACTTTCAATGCACTGTCACAGTTGTCATTGGACTTGAGGTTTGGCAGGTACCTGTGGGGATCTTTAGTAACACAGCTAATCTAGCAATGCAGTTAGGAGAACGTGAGGTTGTAAAAGTGATTCTAAATCTACCACAAATACTCTGGGCACAACTCTGTTTTAGTCCTGCCAGACCCATCCTCCCTCCAGAAGCACCAGTGAGTGTTCACCTTGTCACTGCAGCTCCACAGAATCAAAATCAACAGTGACAATGACTAAAACCCTTGAGATACAACCTGTCCTCTGGGTGGCTATGGCTATGAAACACGGCACTTAGGCACTGATGTACATCTTACTGTCTATGATTCTGTCCATTGCACTAGTGACTACACATCCCTGCTTGGGAGGTTACATTTGTGGATACACACCAGAAGAGACAACAGAGTTGGGTCATCAGTGATTTTCTGGGGTACAAATGAGAATCGTGTCTTAGGGGAAAATATGACCACCTCAGCTTTTTATCGAAGTGGTTGCTGCGTAATGGCAGGTATTGCACTAGAAGATATTCCCAGCACGTATTTGCAGTAGCATTTGCAGTGTTTGCATAGCTGACCCTCTCCTTTGGGCAGGTTTATTCCAAGGCAGGGAGTGCACGTCTGTTTGCTCTGTCTTTTCTGTCCTGTAATGTTTATCAGAACAGCCTATGTGCATATTTAAATGCTAAAATTAAGAAGTGGATATTCACTGCATTGTAATTAATTACTGAAGTGTTTATTGGGAAAAAATGTTCAGGTCAATTCTCTTTAGTAAAGATGCATTTTTCTTCCCCAGTTGACACTACAAGGTTTCCTTGCTAAGAATATGCCTAAGCCTGCCCATGCAGGTGTAAAGAAAAAACTGTGACATTACAAAGAACTTCGAGAAGTCTTCTAAGGACAAAGCAATTTGTGAAAATCAGAAAAAGAACCCTGACAAATTTGTAGAAAAGAGTTTTCTTTCACTGGAGATCAGCATAAGCAGAAATACTTGCATATTTAGAAAAAGAAAAACAAAAATGTATCATTGTCATTTTGCAAATTATTGATACTGAGGATAAAAGTCTAGGCACCAATGCTGATTTTAGCATCATATTCTATTTTTCTAAATAAATAATAATGCCTTGCAATCATATTGATTCTTTAATTTGCCCAATTCAGTGCCCTAAAAAGCATGAGTTAACACAATATAAATAAGTATCATAAAGTTATGCAAGAAGCACAAAACCCAACTGAACTAGCCATCAATATCCAAACACTACAGGAAGTGTATGCTCAGAAACTAGCCTAATGTGTGTGTAATAGTTGCTAGAAACAAAGTAATGTTTAAGATAATAGACATTTAGGAATTAGCCAGTATCTTGTGGAGTAAGTCTCAGTCCATTCTTCATTTTTCAGCTGGATATCTGCAGAAGCTGTCACACTGCATCCCCGAAAGAATACATGAGAAACCAGTTGCTAAGCCAGTATTTTGGCATGCAGATCCAAATTGTGCTGTGCGCACATGCATATGCAAGACAGAAAAAGCTCTGTGCAAGGTACTGTGAAGCCCCAAACAATTGCATTTTATCAGATGCTTTTTCAGCAATGAATTATGCATTACGGATAACTAACTGTATCTGACCACAGAAGCGTCAAATGATATTTCAATTTAAAACCATACCATGAACTCAAGAGGAGCCATGATGAGAAGCGTTGTATCAAAAGGACTGGGGAGGACAGGGGGAAGGAAAACAGGGTCCTCAGTCTTAAAATCGCAAAAACTGCTTCACAACAAAAGGATTAAAAGCTGTTCTATTTAAATATATACACACACACCCCCCCTTAGAAGCTTCCTTAAAAATTAGATTCGTAGTCTACAATGCCTGATAATGATGCAAATTAATGGAAAAATGCAGATTATCATTCTGTCCCTGGCATGATAATGCATGTCTCTATCAGCATTCTGGAACCAAAAAACCCCAAAGTTTATCAGTGGAAACTAATTTGGGGGATTATGGAAAAGCAAATAAATTTTTCATGCCCTCACTGAGAAGTGGTCTGAAGGCTATGGGTAAAAGCTCTTAAAGTTGAGGCTCAAGCTGCATTGGCTGCCACTCTCTCCAAGGCTCAGGGTGAAATTGCGGCTCCTTAAACTTTGGCAATCAGAGGGGGAGACAGAGCTGAGGCCTATTACCGCAGATCTGAAAATTGTATGCAGCCAGTTTGAAGGACTTTAGGCATAAAATCCAAATGAAATTAGAGTAAATGTGAAAGAGAATAATAAGTAAAGAGAAATTCTGAATAACAGAAAATAGCATTCAAACCCCTCAATGCAGACATCCTTGTAAATAGGTAAATATTTACTAGAAAAAGTTCTAGCGAGAGAAACAAAGGACATGGACAGCTTTCAGCCCACCACTACAAGTATGCCATCTGTTTTGAGCAGATGTTTGTTTTTCCAGATCTTTTGCTGGCATTTAGCTATGCAATTTTTCAACTTCATTTCTTCCTGGTTGGCGGGAGCAAGCGTGCTGCCTGCAAGCTGAGTCCTGCCTGCCCAGGGACCGGCCATCCTCACTGCTCAGCTTTCCCACCAAGAGCTATACTGCTGAAGCATCCTCTCTTTCAGAGATCTTTTGTCCCATATGCACATTATAAATACAAGAACAATTTAAAAATCTGCAATAAAGGGGTTGCCTCATTTCCCACGGAAGGCTAGTTCCTGGTGCACGCACTCTGATGATTTATTGTTGAAGTCATGTACAAGTCAGCTACAAGTGGGTCAAAGAATGGTTAGCAGTCAGAAACAACAGACTACCTTTATTTTAATTCATGGGGGAAGGAAAGGAAAAGATGCACACCTTACTCTTTTCTTGCTGGAGCTCTATCTGGATGTCGGTGAGCTTGGCCCTGAGCTCTTCATTGGCAGCCTGCAAGGCAGCCAAGGCGTCCAGCTTCTCCCCCCTAGCTCGGCTGCTGGTGCCCTTCTTGGACATGGTGAGGCCACGCGGCAGGGAGGGGAGTCCCGCCCGGAGGCCTTCGTCCCAGCACTCGCTCGGGGCTTCTCGTCCTTTTCTCCGTCCCACTACATTTTCTTACTTGCCTGGAAGGAGGGAAATCACATAACTACTGTCAGAGTGCCGGAGGTGGGTAGGCGATGCGATATCCACCAAACGCACAGTGAGACACAAGACATTTCTAGAAAGCACGAGGTACATGTCAGCCAGCTAAAGTGGCTCTTTCCTGGATTAAGTAAGAGCTAGACACATTGTCAGGTGTAATAATATTTTGTATTATACCTGTATAGAGAAAAACATTTAACTATAAACATTTTCTGTCACTTCATTTGCACTGGAATTCATACAGTGCGGAGGATGTGGATGTTTGGGAGGGACGTTCAAGTGCCATCCCCTGGCATCGTCACAGCTTGGAGACAGCAACAGCTGGGAAAACTATTTTCAGTATAGGCAGAATACTTTTATGTTCTTTAAAAAAAAAGTCTTAAGAAAAAGAGTGTTTGGTTTCCTACAAATACTTTTCAGATATTCATGATGTAAATAATAAAAGTTAAAAAAAAAAGGAAGAAGCTACAGAAGCAAGCAGAGATTACCCAAAGGCAACAGAAGCTTTCTATACAAGAGTGTGCTGTGTATCATCAAAACAGCAATTAAGTTCTATATAGGTTTATCTAAGTCTGGTAACAATGTAGGAGTTCTATTCGCACTAAGAGGTTTTGAGTCAAATCTAAGCAAACGAAACTGAGACAAGCAAATTCATTCTATTAAACAGTGGAGAACTGGGCAAAAGTGGACCCAGCTTCACAGAATTCATATATTAATATAGTTTGCACTCTATGTCTACCCATTAATCCCAACACATTCATAAACTATACAACGTACACAATTTATAGTGATAACTTCAGTTTTGTCAACAAAACACATAATATCAAGTACAGTGCTAAAAGCTACATGCATTTGTTGATTTTTATTTCAAAATTCTCCAACAGAGACATTGCCCAAGAATAAACAGCAGTATTCTGGAATGGGTAAGCATTCTTAAAGTCTGTAGAGACTGTGCCAAACTTAGAAGATCATATTATCAATGAAACTCAAATGTCCTTTATAATCAATACTATTAAGGAAAGAGTACAAGAGTTATTGAAAACCTCATATCCTTGCAAAAAACATATTCTAGCTTAGTATAACTGTCAGGCATAAGGAGCCTAAGAGCAAGACACCAACTCACTCCGCAGAATTTAAAATCTGAGGCAAAGACAGATAAAAGTAGGGAGAAAGATGGTATTTTCTATCTGTTAATGCCATTTTTATGCTGCATCCATCCCATGGTTCAGAAAACTCTATCAGAGTTCTATGTAAAAATAAATAATTAAACTATTCATCAAATCAAATTAAATCCCTGTGATCTGTGAGTTGTCTGTACAGAGGTGAACTTGACTGAAGGTATCACAGTTTGTCCTTACTTAATTTGATTCATTTCTTAGAGCTGTTGATGCAGACAGACAGTCCATTAATATTATGCACTTGATCACTCTGTGCTGAACAAGTCAGTAGAGGAGGGTGTTCAGGTTGCTGTCAATTCTTCCTCTGATCGGTATTTAACTCAGTGCTCACCAATAGCATGAACAGATTTAATTTAATAGAAACCTGAGGATAGCAAGAAATTCTGGGCAAAACGCTGTGTCCTGGAGGCTTTGTTTAGCTCTGGAGCAGTGGAACGTAGGTACTGTCTGCTCTATCCCAAAATATGGATGTTTCCCCAGTGTTTCTTTCACATTTTGTATACTTTCTGAAGGATCTTCTCTTATAACAATGCTACTTTGTCAAAGCACTGTGGAAGGAGAATCCCCACGCTGATGCAGAGGCTCCTTGGTAATCATCCCATGCAATTTTTCAATCTGTGGATATAGACTACAGCTGTGAAAACCCAGTTCATTCCTATTTAAAAGATAAACAGCAACACAGGCAAAGAAACTGTTGCCTCTGCTTCTCTAGACAAAGCTCAGACTCACTATCAAAGTTTATTTTATAATTGTCTATGAAAAAAATTAATGGGAGTGAAATCATGAATGAAACACCTAGAGGACCAGCTAACAAGCTCACACAAAAGATACACACTCATGGTAATGCAAAATGGGGAAACATCATCAGCAAAGAGAAGGATCAAATTAATATTCAGACAACTGGATGATCCTAAAGACCGTAGTGAGAGATGAGATGTGAAATCCAGTGGTGTAAAGGCTCTGTCTTTCAACAAAGTTCTCAGACAAGACTTGGGCCAACTTCTGACCCAAGGACGAGGACAACATGCTTTCGTTGTTTCAGAGCAAACAGCAGAACAGATCGGGATTTTTACAACAACATATACATTTACAGAAGAATGTAAAATCTAATGAAAAAATGTTTCACTTTGGAAAACTTTGACTTGCTTAGATAAAACTATATCCTGAACAGATTACATGTATTTCTCAGTTCAAAAATTTATTTGGATTAATTTTTAACTGTCACTACATTTCTAGTTTGAAGTAAACCCTTGTTTTAAAGATCTGTTTAAGTTATACTATAGAAATACACAAAAAAGCTCAGATTTGGGAAAATATTTCCAACCTTGTTAATACTAACCTTATTAATGTGGATAATCTTTTTGGATTATGACCTTCAATGCATTGGTTTATTCATCCTGACTCATAGTCAAAAGCACAACAGAGCAGCACTATTCCCTGTCCAAGCACGAGTAAAGAGGCTTAACAGTTCAGGGCAGCTGTAATAATAAAATAACAAGAAACAATAATAGTAAAATAACAATATAATAATAATAATAATAATGAAATAATAATAATTATTAATAATACTAGAACAGCCCAATTTGAATTCTAAAAGCAAAAACCTGCATCCATTAGGGAGAAAAGAGCAGAGGGAGGCAGCCGCCTCAGGGGATATATAAATGGGATATGAAGCTGGGAGAGGGCTGAGAGCATCCGGGAGAAGTGGTTGGAGTTTGGGAGTAACCAGGCAAAGCTGCTGAGAGTCAAGGAAATCAAGCAGGACAAGCAGCCACTGGGTCACAGTAAGAGTGGGAAGGCTGAGACAGAGAAAAAAGTGTGTGTGTGTGTGTGTGTGTGTGTGTGAAATTCCTGATATTAGTTGACCAAACCAAGGTAGTACAAACAGTCTTAATTCTGTTGTTTCTCAGTCAGGCTTGGCTTTGTAGCCTTGAAGTTTCTATTAAAAAAGTGTGTTTGGCTGGTCAAAGAAATAGAAATAAATAACATTTTACAGATATTGCCTGAAAAACCTATAAAAAGGAGTAGATGTTCTTAGCATTTAAGATTCTTGCTTCTTTGTGTAAGAAGATGCAATCCATCAGTGATTGTTCTACAACGGAGGTCTTAAGAAAACCCTCTTTCTTTATAGATAAAAAAATGGGGCAGTCTATAGCCACAGGCACTGAATTCTACCTACTGTGATGAATGAAGCATTTGTGCATATTACAATTATTTTCTTAAATGGTATGTTATAATAATAGATGCAGTAGGTGGAGTCAGGTTATTTCACAACCTGAGGAAATGAGAATCATAGAATCGTTTAGGTTGGAAAAGACCTTTAAGATCATCAAGTCCAACCATTAACCTAACACTGCCAAGTCCACCGCTAAACCATGTCCCTAAGCACCACATCTACACGTCTTTTAAATACCTCCAGGGATGGTGACTCACCCCCCTTCCTGGCCAGCCTGTTCCAGTGCTTGACAACCCTTTCGGTGAAGAATTTTTTCCTAATATCCGATCTAAACCTCCCCTGGTGCAACCTGAGGCCATTTCCTCTTGTCCTATTGCTTGTTACTTGGGAGAAGAGACCGACACCCACCTCGCTACAACCTCCTTTCAGGTAGTTGTAGAGTGCGATGAGGTCTCCCCTCAGCCTCCTTTTCTCCAGGCTAAACAACCCCAGTTCCCTCAGCCGCTCCTCATAGGACTTGTGCTCTAGACCCTTCACCAGCTTCATTGCCCTTCTCTGGACATGCTCCAGCACCTCAATGTCTTTCCTGTAGTGAGGGGCCCAAAACTGAACACAGTATTCGAGGTGCGGCCTCACCAGTGCTGAGTATAGGGGGATGATCGCTTCCCTATTCCTGCATAATACAAGCTTTTAACTGCTTGCATTTGAATGTTAGACAAATAATAATTTGAATGATACAGGGATTTGTGAAAATAATTCAAATCAGAAGGATTATTTTTGACAGACAAGGGCTACAAGAATTATTGTTTGTTTACAGAAAATAAAACTAAGGAATTGATACAAGTAAGCTGAAAGGCAAAAATGGTATTAGAGGCATGCCAGGAGGAGTGCAAGCCCAGCAGCTGATTTTCTGGGAGGCAGTGCATGGTAATAGCACAGAGTAGTCAGGTACTCGGCGCACACACTCCCTGGGCGTCCCTGTGAATCCAAGTAGCAGAAGGTCGACCATTTCGCTCCACATGCTGGTACTGTCTCAGAGAGCCTCTCAGGAGCATCATGCAGAGGAGCACACCATCCTGGCACCTCCCCTGCAGAGCTGGGGACCTAATGGTTTCTAAGCACGGTTCGCTTGGTGGGAATTCTGTCTGAGCTCTATTTCTAGAACTACGTGTCCTCATACTTTCAGTGTTTAAGCTTTTAAATTTTGTTTAAAATGTTATCAAGGTTTAATTGTATGAGTCGACACATTTCATGCCAAGCAACTGCCTAAATACTAAAAAATAAAATTTAAAATTGGTTAGCTTATTTCAAGAAAGAAAGGCTTGTATTGCAACGTTTGCTCTGGACGGGTCTACAAAACCTTTAAAGATGATCTGAAATATTATCAGCAAGGTGTTCCCTGTTGTCCCATGAAAGCAGCCCAAGTGCAGTAAGCTGAATATCTGCCAGAGGCTGCAGTTGCCCACCCTCAGCCAAGCTTTGCTAAGGCTTCACTACCCAAAGTCACCGCCTGTATCTGG